TATTAATTTTGGACGAATGAAAAATTGAATAAAAAACTCTCTTTTTATTGCGTTGGTAAATCATTTTCTGAGTTTTATATTTTTATATTCCTCAAAAAAGTATACTTAATAATAATAATAATAATACTTTTGAAAGTAATCCGGTCATGTCGACAGTGATAAAGTAAGAAAGATTAACGTTTTTTCTTTAAAATACAATTACACAAGCAAAAAAAAAAGTGATATTTCTCAATGTACATTAATTCTCATTATAAAAAAATATCTGTGTTAGTTTATACTAAATTGTTGCACAATAAAAAGATACATTTTTTGATTTTTGATTTTAGAGCACAAAGTAACAATATTAATCAATTACCTTAAAATTGAGCAGCTATCATAAAAAATGAATCTTCATCCTCATATCTCAATCATAGTTCATATTTCAGTTCATTCCAAATTAATTTTTAATAGCAAAATAAGAGTAATATTTGTTTAATAATATAATTTATTTATTTATACGTCAAAGTGTTTTCTTGATTTTGATAACATTAATAAATTAACATAAAAATATTTCAGAGGTACATTTCGAAAGTTAAATAGGCACCTATTATTATTATATATATAATATATATTGTAAGACTAAAAATTAATCCCTAATTGTACAATTATGTTTTTATTATAGATATAAATTAAAACAATTCAATATCTTCCTTAACTTTGGTTTTTCAAATTTATTAAAGATATTTTTAGTAGTATACATTAGTAGTGAAAGTTAAATTAAATATCTAATGAAATTGAAAGATTTACAACTTCAATAGCCAATTTGATAAATTTAAACTGCTTCATTAAATCAGTTGAACGATAACATAAAACCAAAATGAACAAATTAAATCTGACAGTTTTTTCATCACTATCTCAATGACTGTGAAGATTACATTTTTACCCAAGATCTTTAAATAATATAAAATGTATTTAAATGAAATATTTAAATCAGCTGTGAAGCCTTAAGTTTTATATTTTTTGCTTATAATAAAAAATAAATTATATAATGAATAATTCGAAAATAATCTTTTGAATACTTTATATTAGGTAAATTGAACTTTATAGAAAATTTACTAGGAAAATATTGTTTTCTAAGTTAATATAATTTTTTTAATTATTGACTTACTATATTTATAATGTATTTTTCTTTCGAAATTTAATTGATTTAAAATAATTTCACATTTTGACGATTAGTTCATGTACATGTTATGATCCAATTAACTATAATTGAAGTACGTAACAATTTCTTATTAATACTCGATTACGAACCATAAGGTATTGTTGAAAGACTTTATAACACAAAATATATATTACATACACTTCACATCTTTTTTGTACTATTGTAGAAGAGATTTAGTTCTCGTGCTTTGTATCGATCGATACTACTATAGTAGTCTATGATTTTAGTATAAAGGGTTTGAAGTTTCTTTAACGTAAATAAGTATTATTCTCAAGCATATGGTTACAACTTTCAGTAAAGTCTGTCTTTTTGTCATTCGACCGTAATCCAAAAAATGTAATGTCGTCTGACCTTTCGTTTATTTCTTATCAATTCAAATGGTTAACTGATTTAGTTTCAAATACTTACAGAGAAGTAAATGGAAGAAAATTATGATAGTGTAATTAAGAAAATATTATGCTATTAGAAAATATCAGGTAAAAAGTGTTTGGAATGTTACTGATTTCAACTCAAGTTATATATACGATTTTCTTTTGATGTTTTTAAAATTACATTCCAATAATGAAAAAGCTAACTCTCAAGTACCATAAATCATAAAAACACTCACACAAAAAAATCTCTACAAAAATGTTTGTAGTACTCTGAATAATATTTAAGTATAATAATTTTGTGTCGACTATTTAATACTTTGTATTTTTAAAGTTTTTTCGAGATATCAATCAATTACAATAAAATATAGGGCACGCCTAAAGAATAATAAATGTTCGTCCTATCTTATAATTTCCTATTGTTTTATTAGGTTTAGTAAAAATAGTTAATTACTAAAATTTTATGCGCTAGTGTGTTGTTTAATTTTGAATACTATAAACTTGCACATACGCAAACTTTTAAATTATTACACTCAATAATTTAACACTTTAGGCATGATTATTTTGTTTATTTAGAATTTAGGAGTCGTGCAAAGTTTAAAAGTAGCATTGGTCTAATTTATAACATTTAATTAACCTCTAGAGACTGCTGTTAAATTATATAAATCATCTTTGTTAGCACTCATTAATATTGTTGAATATAGTTAACACAACGAACAAATTTCAACGAAACAATTTAAGATAAAACATTATTCCATTATTTTTTACTGAATCAAACTAAAAGCTTGTTAAAATAAATTGTAACAAAAGTATTTAATATAACTCTCCTTCCCATCCGGTTCTATTTTATAATGAAAAATAATAAAAAGTTATAAAACTCTAAAGTTACTAAAAATGATTTTTCATGCATACTGTATGAGTTTTGGAAAGTCACGTTAAGAAGTCAAAAATGTCTCCATCAAAATAATCATTTATAACACTCAAAAATCACTTTATTACCAAAAATATATAACTGCGGTAACGTATTTTTACGTTTTTTTTTTAGCTGTTTAGAATATACATCTAAAATAGTCCGAAGACTATTTTATTGGAATGTCAAAAATTATAGTAATATACAAAACAATAAAATATATCGAACGTATAAAGAGGATAAACAACAAATAAAATTCTATTCAGTATAATTATAATTTTAAATGGAAAATAATAATCGATTATTATTAATATTGAGATATATTTACAGAGGACCCAATTACGATTACAAAAAATATTCAAGTTTTATTTATCATTATTAAATTTTAACTAAAGGACATTGTCAGTTTTTTATTTATTTTTTATCCATTAACTTTACCATAATTTACTGGATATCACGATAATTTAAGTTGAAATCGCACAACTCTTCCATTAGACTACATTTTTTTGTATAACTTACATTATATGTACACAGTATAATTTCCCAGTGCTTCTGACCGGTAACAGATGATAGGTATACTTTATTTTTAATGTATTAACGTCTGGAGATAGTCCAAAGGGATAAAACTTTTAAGTTTTACAGTTGTAACACGACTAAGGCTTCATAGAAGTATATAGTTTATGTTCGGTAGTCGTCACCGACAAATACTTCTACTCCCGATGTTTTATTTACTTTTCACATGAGTGGTAAGGGCCGTAAAATGATGCTCAAAGACTTGTTTAATAGCAGTGTCATCAGAAAGTGCAGGAGGTAATATTTTACATGTTTTAAAATACACTAACGATATCCTAAGTAAAGTTTTGTTTTAAAGTCATGTAGGTTAAAGTTTCACAAAAAGCCATTTATTACTTTTTCATACCTTTTATATTTTTAAATTCAAGTGCGTGAAATTTGACAGTGTATACTACAAAATACTCATTATTATACAAAATATTATACATACATCAAGTGAAAAAGTTTTTAATTTGTAAATATACTTTATACTTTTTTCTTCAATATGAAAAATCATTTAAAATAAAATACTATCTTTGGAAACTGCTTTATGCTTACAACATTTAATCGTAGCCAAAAATTATTTTATGAACATATTTTTTTAATTAAAAATTTTAAACTGTTTCACGTTGAGATTTTCAACGTTCAATTAGAAACTCTTTATAATTTTTAATGGTATTTACACAACATTTTAATTCGACTAATGAGAAAATTATACGATGTAGTGGTAATGTTAAAAATAAAAATATATCTTTTTTTGTGTGCGTCAAGTCAAAACATGAGTTTGGTACATCCAATTTCATTTTCAGTATTGTACACAAAAATGTACAAATGTACACAAAAAAAATCTTAATATACAAGTTATATGTTGCCATTTGCATTACTAATATAGCGTTCATCACTGTTGAATTTCTCATGTCACTATTTTTCTAAAAACTTAAGTTTCTAGAGCTTTCATTTGCTTTGTAATACAAGGCCGGATGCTAAACACTAAGCGTTTTCAGCTTTACTCTATATATATGTATATTTTTTTTTTAAGAACCCAAATATTACAAATTTACTTTACCTTTTAATACAAGGAATAAAGTATTTTATTACCTATATATAATCAACTTACTTTCCGAAAACCACATTATTGATTATATGCATATATAAGAAAATTTTATTTAAAATTAATGAAACATTTTTTATCATAAGATGTTTAAAATTATGCGTAAAAATAAAATTTTTTAACATGTTATTTTTACAAAATTGAATTAAATTTATCTTTTATTCCTTTTACATTGAATTAATTAAACATTTGAGAAATTATTAATTTTATAATAATTGGGTAGTGTTCTGTAGACTAAAGCACCTTGTGGTAAACCTCTAAAGTATGTAATAAAATATGTGCCGCTTTAGTTATAAAACTACGGTCATTTAATGGAAAGCATATAAAATTTTTATTAAACTGACTTGTTCAGAATTTTATTTCAATTTTACTCTCTTGCTTTTTGTCAATCTAATTAAAAGTTCTTAGAGATTAATACATAATGATTATTAAATACATAACGTATATAAATTATTATGATATAAATTTATAAATACAGGAAATATTTTAATGACCAATAATATTTCTAACAAAAAAATCAATTTAATTTCTACCATAACATAATTGGTTGTGCATATTCTTCCTCGTTATTTTCCATTTAATGACATGAAATATTTAACTAATAACAGTCAAACTATTAAAAATTATTCTTCATTTGTAATTATTTTCGAATTTTAATTAATAAATTTTTAAAAAGAACACCAAACCTAATTCATGGTTTGACATTCTGAATTATCATATTAAACTGTATGGATTCTTATCTATTTTTACAGTAAAATTAAAATTATTTAAGGTTTCAGTTAAATTTGTCCGCGTGAGTTTAAGTTATTTACATGAGTTATTAGAACTTAATTATTTTTAACATATAAAAAAGATTACCTGGCATATCTTCCACATTCTCTGATAATAATTGTTCCATTAGATATATGTCGTGGATAATTGCATCGGCGAAACGAACTGAAATATGCATCGGCTTGATCCATCAATCGCCCCTAAAGGAAATTTATTTTCAAAATCAACTGATTGTATTAAAACAAACTAAAACTAACATGAACAACATGAGAATATTGAATTTTTATTGTTAAAATAAACGGTCATTGCATTAATTATTATTATTTAAAATTGTTATCTTTTGAAAACTAATAAAATATTTAGAAAAATGTATAAAATAGGTATTATAATTTTTAATAATTTACTGTTGAAATAGTTCCCTTCACATAACAATTTTAACGTGTTTACGGGAAATATATTCTTAATGATTCCGATTTGAAAAATTTATAATAACTTATGTTTAAATGTTATCTAGACAAGTTTATAGATAGTGTACTATTGATAGAAGAATAGAAACTCGCACTTTTATTTATCTTTCTTTTATTAAAACATAAATTGTGAAAATGTACTAGTTTACACTCAACAAGAATCACGTACAACACATTTGGAAACCAAATAATCGTTTTGTTTTGTATAGAAGAAAAGGTTATTTTAGTCGAATACAGCTGCTGATTTCAAACTTTTTACTTTAGATACTTTTTCTTTTAAATAAATAAATTATTTACACAGAAGTTTTTTAAGAAAAACATCTAGTTAAATAGTAAAATAAAGAAATCATCTAGCAGATCACTTAACAGAGTAAATGCGACAGTATTGATTTTTATTTCTCCGAAATAATGTCGTTCTGTATTAATGATGTTATTTCGATCATCATTTTATCATCATCACTTGTATCGTTATTGTTTTATTGTTGTAGTTTAATAGCTCTATAGGTTTTTTCAGTATTAGAAAATGGCAGTATAAATTTATATTCTTATTTTATGATAGTGATTTAATCAGTATTAAATTACTAACTGATAACACATAAAGTATTAGATTTGCGATTCCAATAAATGTGTTCCTATATAATTTTTTTGTAATAAAATGTTTTTTATTTTTTTTCGGAAATGTTGAAAACGTTATGCTAATAAAACCAAAAGAATTATTTCAAATGCAAAAATGTTGTTATACTTGAATGAAGTGATAATTACAGTAAAAAATATAAATCAAAAACCAAACCAAATAATGAATTAAATGCTTTTTTTTATACCTACAACAAATTTGTTGTATACAACTCTTAAAAACATTAATTTATTAAAAAAGATGTTGAATAAATTACACTAGAAGATAAAAATTAATAAACGTATAAAATATTCAACATTGTTTACATTGCAACAAATAAGCGTTCAATAATAAAAGTTAAAGAATATTTCAAAAAACCAATACCAAAAAAAATGTTTTTTTTTTTCTTGGGCGATTTCTCGACTAAAATACATTGGTTTAGCACGACCAATGAGGGCGAGCTGGGCCCTTTTAGCCCCTCTTGGAAGGTAACACGTTTAAAATTTACCCGCTAGTGTTTATGTGTAATCTTCAATCGTGCACTGTAAACAACATGTCAATTGAAAATCTTTCAGTTTTTTTTTTTTTTTTTTAACTCAAAACTTTTGATACGTCTTACTATTGGAAAATGTTAACGTCATTCACGTTAAAACCGTCGAGTGCTTACAAGAACTGCGAAGCATTGAAACTTTTGTACATTTATTTTCCGTGTCGATAAAACATCACGTCACCGCTAAGTCGTTTGTTCTTATCCGTTTCCCGACGAATTCATTGTGCGTACACGAACCTCTATTTTTCTTTATGACATAAATATATTCCCAACAAAACTGTGATACCACACGACTGGATGGCATGCGGAAGTCCGATTTTATTGAATACGCCGTTTCGGTTTGAATGGAACGGACGGCGCGTTAAACGCAACCGGGCGCATTTGACCGGCGAAATGATTGTGCGCCAATGTCAGTGTGCACATTAATACTGTTTAATAGTTTGAAATTATCGCTGTTATTATGTGTTTGGGGTGACGACTAAGCGCACGGAACAATAGACGGGATCGGTAATAACCAATTTCTACTGTCTCCGGTGAAATCGCTTTATCCATTAACAGAGAAATGGCGAGTCAGCGGGTAGATAATAGTTACTGGAAGAAGGTTCGCGACGGCGACGGCGGTGGTCGACATCAGTGGCCGTAAATAAAAGTCTACGGTTCTCTATCGGATGACAGGATGTCTCTGTGGCCGAACCTCTTAAATACTCTGTTATTGTTTTTCTTGTTCTAGACCGAAGAAAATAAAGGCCGTTATCTTCTTTCTGACAAGCTGTACGCCACCACNTAACCAATTTCTACTGTCTCCGGTGAAATCGCTTTATCCATTAACAGAGAAATGGCGAGTCAGCGGGTAGATAATAGTTACTGAAGAAGGTTCGCGACGGCGGTGGTCGACATCAGTGGCCGTAAATAAAAGTCTACGGTTCTCTATCGGATGACAGGATGTCTCTGTGGCCGAACCTCTTAAATACTCTGTTATTGTTTTTCTTGTTCTAGACCGAAGAAAATAAAGGCCATTATCTTCTTTCTGACAAGCTGTACGCCACCACCGCGCCTTTAATTACATCGAAAAATACTATATTTACTCGATAAGTGCAGAAACGGTTAAAGCGACAGCAGTGTACATTATTATTGAGGAACAGACAGGAAACGGGACGTGAAACAAGAGCGGCTGTAGTGGCCATCAACGAGTGGGTGGCGCGTAAAGTACAGCGGTGCATTAAGCCACATCTGGTACAACAAAAATCATTATTGCGGTATTATATAAATCTTGTGACACCGAACACATAAAAAATCGTACGCGATTACAACTCTCTGTTTATGTTTGTGTGCGTCTTGAAACTGACAACTTTTTATTAGCGCGCCTGGTTAATGTCAATAGATTAATTATAATTCACCCGGAAAACGCATATGTAAATCAATCAAAGGAGCTCGGCGAAATACTATTAATAAAATCCGCAATTCATTCAATAGTGATCCTCAATAGACGATTTTCAGTAACTAAGTTAGAAGAAATAATGATGATCGGCAAAGAGATAAATCAAAAAAACCTTATACAAATACGTATAATATTTGTATACATTTTGGTCGCCTGTATTAAATTAATATTAATTAATAGGACGGCGTCATTCGGAATATTTGTATGAAATGATCTAACGTTCAACAAAAATTTATGAAGCGCGAATGATTAACGATGCTATTTCATGTATTTATTTTCACACATTAGTCTCATTGATAATTTTGGTCTCGCTTGACATGTTTGATAAGGTTGGTCTAATCATAATAGTTTATATTTTAAATAATTTGAATACGAGTAATTTTTTTGATGATGTCGAGGGTAAAGTTTTGATTTTGTTTAACTAAGCAATAAATTAATTAGAAAAAATAATCAAGCGAGTTGTCACTTACAGTAGTAGTTTTTACACAATTACTGTTTTTGACCAACAGCGTTGGATTTTGCTACTTTTAAAATTATTGATAAATACCTACGTCACCTTTACAGCGCGAACACAAAAATGTATAAGTGTTCTAAGCAGGCGCGTGCCGATGGGGAGGATGAGGGATTTATTTACCCCATGGGAGCAGCTGCAACTCAAAATAATGTGGTTGCACTTTGGTAGATTTTAGTTAAATTTTTATCAGTATAATTTAAGTTATCTAGAATAAAGTTTGTTTTTTTAATCAATTTCGTTACATTGTCTCATGATCGTATCAATAATTAATAGACAATATACTATATATTTCATACAGGATGTGTTGTTAATATAAAGTAGTTTTTTTCATCGTGTCGTATATTCATAATCCATTGTTTTTATAAAGAATTAATATTTGTAAATTTATATTAATATAGTAGTATTTGATATAGGCCACCAAGTATAATATTTACTAACGTGAGGAGAAACCTAACTACTAATATAGAAGCATACAAAAAAATCTGATGATTAAAAAAAAGATCACGGGAGTAGCATATTTTGATAATATCCCCCCAATTAAAATTTCTGAACACGCTACTGTTTATACAGGTGTGTCAGGCCTAACTGACAATGCATATAACTTTTTATGTAATTATCATTTTGTTGAAATATTTTTAAAAATAATTATTGCCTTCTGACACTACGTGTTTTAGAAGTAGTGCCATTTTTTATCAATTTCTACTAATAAGAAATAAGGAAAAAGTTTAGTTTTTATTTATTTCAAAATTTTTAATCTTCAGCCGTTTTATTACGAACATTTTTTATTGGTCCATAACAATTTTAGGATAAGTCTCATTGAGTTATAAGCATTTTAATACATAATGCCGCGATCGTAATGGTGTATATTTATAACGCATTTCACACCCATTATTTTTATGTCATTGATGCAATTTAACCCAATATTTTTACTTATATTTAGTCAAAGCTGGACATTAGCTCATTAGAAAATTTAAATTATATTAAATAACTCGTTTTTTTTAACTTTAATAACGTGTTAATTTTATGTTTGTTTAGTATAGAGATATAAAAATTACTTCAAATTTGTACTTTAATATGATTGATTTTTGTTTTAATGTCTAGATAAAACGTAATTTTATAAAATACTGATTTTGAAATTTTTTCAGAAGGTGGTCATATAAAAACTAAAACGAAATATTCCTTATTACGATTATTATGATACACTACTATTGAAGATAAAGTTGTAATAAAAGATACGATAAAGTATAGGACATTTTTAATAGTGCGCATTGCCATATGCTAACAGTAAATAAAAAACGCACACTTCCCTTCGCACAGGATATGTTTAAATATAAAATGGTGGAATATCAATAATTATTGAAAAGCGTTTTTAAAATATTGACGCCGTTATTTGAATAAAATGTTGGCAGTAATAGAGCGCTAAGATTTAATTTCATTGCTATTTATTTTATTGGTGAATTATATTGACTGTTAATATAAAGTGCGTATTCGTCATATATTGAGTAGTATAAGAGTCGTCAATGTAGAGAAATACAAACAATTGAAGTTTTTACTATTTTCAACATGGAAACTGTTGTGTTAATGTATTTTACAAAATAAAAATAGCCAGAGAGGAAAT